CTGGCAGTGGCCGCTTCCGTGCAAGTTCGATCCCCGGCCTTGGAGGTGACCCACAGGGTGCAGCAGACCTCTCCTGTCTTCCTGCCGCTCCCCTCAGTAGTGTACTTCATAAACCTGCCTGTTCTGCTCCCCACTCTGGCTATGGTGAATCGTCTCACCACTCCTGTACCTCTGGCCTGTACCCCAGTTCCATATGCATAAATCAGTAAATCTTTCAAAAATTACTAACCTTAACTTAAAAAGTCCTTTCCTGTTGTGCAATGCAGTCATATTTATGTCACACAAAAAGGAACGTGATCTTTCCATCCTGCAGAAACATTTCCCGCCGTACCTAGCACACACAGGGGCAGAAATGGTGGCTGAGAGGATTAAAGAAGAGGTAACTGTGGACCTTTTCCGCTGGGCGCTGATGTCCCAGTGCCGGGCACCTGACTGCTGGTGGGTTTTGGAATGATGTTCAGCGACCAAGTTTTCACTGATCTGCGGAAATATTAAAAAATAAAGACTGGCACGGACATGCGTGTAGAGGAAACGGTTGTAGAGGAGTGACCTCTCTTTCCTTGGGAAGGATCATGAAATCTTGACCCTCCTTTACTGCTCTGAAATGACAGTAAAACTAGAGAGACTTCACAGTTGGTGATTGCCAACAGTCAAGAGGCAATCTTGACGAATTGTATTGCTGCTGTTCCATGCAATGGTCATCGACCTGTCTACTTTGTGCTGGTCACTGCAGGCCTTGAGGGTTCAGCAGTGAACAGACTGGCAGGGGTCCCTGTGCATAGGGAGGACTCTGGGGTCTGCAGAGTTTAACCAGAAGGTGCAAAAAAAAAAAAGACGATGCAATCATTTACTGCCGATGAGGAACATGTGAGAGGACTGGTTGATGAGTACATCGCGCAGGCACAAAGTGAGGCCCAGGTAAGCGGCGGTAGAATCCAACGGCGCAGAGTCTGCGCGGTTTGGAACCCAGCGCACGCAGGCGCCTGGGAGGGGGCGCCCGCTCAGCCTCTGACGCCCCGCCCACCGAGACCTGACGTTGCAGCTGAGGGCGGGGCCATTGTTGAGCGGGGCGGGGTCGAGCGTCGGGGGCGGGGCCGAGC